GAGTGCCTCTGCCCACAACAGGACATCTCTAGTGTCACTGCCACAAGAGCAGTGGCAGACAGTAAAACTAGGGGAATATTGTGCTCAATAGGAAGAATCTTGAATTCAGAATACAGTAATGCTGAAGACATAGATTGAAAAAACCCCTCTATCTCTCAAGCATCTTTGCCTTCAAGAACCCGCTATTATTTCTGTACAATGGAGAAAGTAACATGCACATTTATCTATTAAAGCTGAACAAGAAGCTTCACATCATAACTGGACACACCCAGCTGACTGGTCAGAATAGACAAACCAAACAAGTTTTACTGTCAACTCTAACCTTGGCAACAGGTTTAACCTTTTGACTGATGCATATTAACCTAGCAAGTACGTTGACAGCAGATACTGGTAGAAGCTTTTAATATGATTAAACAGCTATCTAGTTTTCAGGTCTACTTGAGTAAAAGAAAAGTCAAAGCTACAAGAACAAACCCATTGTGGATCACTCTACCTACCAGCACCATCCATGGAGAAGAGGTTACAGCCTGCCTTAACTCAATCCAACCAAACATCTGTTACACCTTGCTCATTTTAGAGTGAAACACAGTAGTAAAAACAAATTGTAACAAAGTATCACAACTCTTACTTTCTTCAGGAGTGAGGTCAGGGTAGACTTCTTCCAGGGCAGCTCTAAGACGTCGCTCATCAACAAATGGCAGTAATGCAACACCTAGTAAAACCAATACACTACATTTTTCCATTTGTTGAAAAAACAACAACAAGCAAACAAAAAAACCTAACCCAAACCCAAACCCAACAAAAAAACACTAGCATGGAGAGCTCCAGTAGATTCTTTACCCAAGAAAGAACTCTTGCATTAGTCAAATAAAACTCCACATTTTCAGGAGGTTGTGATCCTGCAGGCTGTTTAAACTAATTCAGTGGTGTCCTGGTTTAAGCCAGGATGAAGCCAACTTTTCTTCTTTCTGATTTTTTTTTCCTTCAGTAAGCTTTCTTGTAACTAGCAACAGTGTGTTCTGCTAGGCTGATAAGACAGTGGAATGTTTTTCTAACTACTGAGGCTTCAAGGTCGCACCTTCACTCTGCCAGCTCAGACACTATGGGGAGGTCTGTGCCCTCCCCCGTAGGAGGGTGAGTTAGACAGACAGCAAAATTGGCCAGAGATATTCCATTCCATATATCTACGTAAGCTCAAAGGAAGGTCAGAGATCACAGAAGACAACTTCCTTCTTCTTCTTCCCTTCTCCTGTGTCCATGGCCGGCGTCCGAGGAGGACTCCGTTCATCCATCACCGTTGACCCTTAGGCTCGAGCTCTCCTGACCCCCATAACTCTCTGCTCTTTCTCCAGCAGCAGCTCCGGGATTCCTCAGGACTCTTCCCAGTTCAGGGAAGTGCTGTGGGAGTTGCTGGGGGTGGGGGGAGGCGAGAGGCTTTTGCCCATAACTGAATATATCTATATATAATTGTATATATTTTCTTGTATCATTCATTAGTGTTTTAATTAAAGCTGTGTAGTTTAGTTTTCAATCCAGCCAAGTCTCTCTCTTTTTCTCTCTCTCCTTCCCTACCTGGGGAGGGGGGATCGAGAGCATTGTTGTCAGACCTGAGTCAAACGGTGACAAACGGTAGTGCAGGTTGAAAAGGGAAGCTCATCTGCAAGTATCCCTCCCTCCACCTTCCTCCTCCCCAGTCCTGGGTAGGCACTGGGAAGTACTAATCTCTCCCCATACCTGCCTCATTTAGGAACAAGATGAGCTCAGTAAGACAGTCATTATTTGTCTCATTTGTTACAGACACTCCCCTGGCAGAACTCAATGCTACTTTATTCAAATTAATTTATGAAAAGACAACAATGGAAGAAATTACTCCAACTTCAGTGATGAGGTGAAACAGATATTATCCATCAGGGACTATTCATATCAGCTATTAATTTTACTCCAAGATAACATGGAAAGCCCTCTCCAGATCAAAATCCCTCACTAAGCAGCACATCTCTGAGCCTACTCAATATTGGATGAAGCTGAAGAACAGCCTTCCTTGGTATGCTCCAGTAAATGGACTTCCACAGACTCATTTCTTGATCTAAAACTTGGTCTGCCTGAAATATGTTTCAGAAGCACAATCTTTACATTAATTTATTAAAACAAATACTACTGCCTGGAAGCTGAAGGAATGGGGATAATCTAAAACTTTACTTGAAGTGCAATTACACTAAATAAACACTAAGTGTTAAATATTTCAGAAGTTTACCTTAATCAGAATTTTATTTAGCCTACTGTAAAATAACAAGGAGCAGACCTGTACAGCCTGCTGTTGCCAGCCTCACCAAATAGGAGATCTGCATTGTCATTGCTTATGAAGTGTGAGTACAATCTTCACACAAAGTGACTACTGCTTTATCAAAGACAGCACCAGACCTCAGCCATGTTCACATTTCAGCTGGAACATAACTACTTGTGAAGGGAAACCGTGATAAGCTTACCCTGGAAAACAAACATTTTATTTTCACCTTCACAACATGCTGGTGGAATGACAACAACATGGGAAGTGTTCATAACCCAGGAGATTGCAAAAAGGATTGATGTTGAGCTCTCAGAAGCATAATCACAACTCTAAAAGGAAGATCTTCAAACATTTCATTAAGAGGACAAGGTATACTAGATGCCTTTTAATGGAGGTGGCTGTACTTCCAGCTTGGAAAATATCTCATTTCACAATGGCCTCTTAAACATGAGAATTCTAGCTGTTGATCCAGAACAAAGAGTTTATAATGCAAGTAAGCATTAAATGGACAAAAAGGTTACAAGCTGCTGAAAGGATCTGAGAGCTACTTAAAATATCACTTCTTTAGACTGTAGATTTGATAACTGGATAGAAGGACTGAGGAAAGTTGCCACAACTACAACATGGGTAAGAAAGGTCTTCAAGTTACACAGGGAAAACCTGCTTTGCAATACTTCTCATAATTCCTAGGAATATTCTCTTTGATTTTGGAACACTGTCCCAGGAAACTTGTATGCCTAACTGGCTATTTCAAAACACAGGTGAGCTGCCCTGTGCAGCATCACAGAACCACTGATACCAGCTGAAACCTTTAGAGATCATTTAGTCCACCCTCTCTGCTCCAGCAAGGTTATGGGCTCCTTAGGTTGTCAAGGACCATGGCCAGCTGGGTTTGGCATATGTCCAAGAACAGAGACTCCACAACTTCTCTGGGCAATGCATTCCAGTGCCTGACCACCCTCAGAGTTACCATGTGCTTTCTTATGTTCAGGTGTTGCATTTCGTGCCCAAATGATTATTTATACCTATAAGTGAGATGCTACACTACTCACTGAATAGCGTAACCAGCCACAAAATTGGGCAGACCTTTAAAATTAATGTTCTCCATTAAAGAAAGAAGAAGCAGCATTAAATACTGCAGCTGTTCTTTCATTCTTTGTGTACATCCAAATATTTCTGTATTCTCCTAAGCACTTTTTTCAAGGTACTAATGAGCCATTGATTGAACAGAAAAAGATCCATTAATTAAATGCAAAGGAGATGAAGAACAATTGCACAGTAAGGCTGATAAAAATAGAAAAATGATTAATCTAGTTCAGGACAAATTAACAAATCTAAAATGACTGCTGGAATTACTAATAATCATTGCCAATCCTAAATCAGTTACTGAACTATAATTTGTTCTTCATAATAACTTCTTTTCAAAAATATACCTGCTGTAAAATACTTCTCCCTCACACTAAGTAACACAAGTTACTCCTGTGACTTGGTACGTGATTATCTCACTAAGATCATTTCCCATTTTCTTATTTTCACATAAGATTCTTAAGACTAAGGTCAGTATATTCTAGCTCAAAAAACCCCTGAAATTTCACCTTGCCAAGCGTATTTCTTCCCATTTAAATCAATAGCAAAATCTTCAGGGTAGAAGTCAATTATGCTTGATTCCTGTCGTTGAGAAAAAAAATAAAATCATTAAAGCCAATTATGAAACAGACTGAGAAGGCCATGTAGCACTACTGTACTTTGCAGAGGGCAATCAAACACAAACATAAGGAGGATGCAAGGAACTTTGACCACCAGCAACATCTTTTTAACAAATGCCATTTAAACATGAAGCATGTTCAGGCTCTTTCATCACTTAAGAGTACCAAAACAAGAAATTGAGCAGGACAGAAGAATTCCAGATAACTCGGGTTAAGGCATCTGCTCCCCAGTAAAGTTATGCAAGGTTTCTATTGGCAAGTAAACAACCTTACTAAAGTGTAAGAGAGCTGGGAAGCAATTTTTCTCACTGAAACATCTGAATACGAAATATCACTTTAAAGCATTATTGAATAATCTCTGCAATCTACCAAAAATGTTCCCTCCTGGTCTCCATTATTTTTCTGGCTGAACTAAGCAGCAGAAAGTCATGCTCACACAACTGCAAGACAACATAACCTTACAGAGAGGAATACAACAAGGATTCTTACCGGATCTGTCATGAGCTTCCTCCACGTTGGTGGCAGAAAATTTCCACTTGCAGCTGGAAATACTCCCATAAGTTGCTCTAGAGGCTTAAACTATTGAAATGAAACAGGCAGATGTAGGACACTTCTAATGGGCTGTTAAATCATGAATAACTAAATAAAGGTGCCCTACCGGTTTTGAGCCCTTCTCAAAATCTGAAGGCATGTCTGCAATACCCTCGAAGTCGGAAGCAAATGGAGCGTAGTGAAAAGGGTAGTACCAGTTCCAGGATGCGCAGCCCTAGGAGAAAGAAACAAGATCAGACCAATAAGAAAAAAGAAATATTAACATAATGTAGTCCTGTCACTAAAGATGACACAGTTTAGCCCAGCATTAACCAGGAGAAAGAAGAGTCCCTGTGATTAGAAAGGAAAGAGCTTTTGTCTCTAGAGGTACACTGGACTTCAGGTGGGGACTTAACTGCTCATAGCCAGAGCAGAGCAAGAGAGGTCCCTAGACACTAAGAGGAGACCTCGGCACCACTGACTTCTTTGCCAACATACTCTGGCTAGAGGCTAGGTTTGACACACCAGAATGACACAAAAGACCTTCCAGCAGAATCTTAACCTTAGCTTCAGGGCACTAGAATGTCCCTCATGCCTTTTTCATCTCCCCTGAGAAAAAACACATGAGTATGTGCAAAAAGTCCAGTAAAATCAAGCACAAAAATTTATTGCAAAGAGTAGGAAACTACAATCTGTTCACAGAGCTAACCGGTCCCTGGAATTTCTACCTTCTCCATAGCTCCATAAGCAGCAGAAAGGTGCCAGTCCAAGAGCCCTCTTAGAGCTCGCAGTGGGAACAGCAGTAATACTCGTCTGGCACTTTGCACTATTGTTTTCCAAGGCAAAATCCCACTGCTAACTTGGGATATAGGCAGCTAGAGAATCCTGCTATGATCCCTTCTACAAGGTGTGAGTGAATATAGTGAACAATATTTGCTGCAGCTTGGAAGGTATTCTGGTTTGAACTGTTACTCTTCTATTCAGTACAAGCACTAACACACACTTTGAGTAACATTTTGCTTTTCCCCTCTTCTGTCTTGAACACTGAGAAATATAAAGTGCATTCACTTGAAAGAGGCAAAATAATGCTCAAAAAGGAGAAAATAAACTCAAAACACATTAGAACACAATGCACTTTTAAAGGAAACATGCCTCTAGAAGGTCTAAGTCAAGTTTCCACCTCCTCAGCTATTTTTCTTAGCAGTACCACTTGAAACAAAAGCCTACTATTTTGACTTCCAATTCTGAATAAGTAAATGTCAATGAGGCTCCTCTCCAGCAATATTTTTGGTATAAAATTACAGAGACTATAGTTATTAGATACAATTCTTCAGATGGTTTCAGTATGTTTCAGAAACCAGGTGGATGGATCTCTTTCTTTTATTTCCCTTTTTTTCCCCTTCTCCAAACAGGTATCCCCACAAGTGGAACATGCTCTGCATTATTAGCTTTTTATTAGAATAGAAAAACATGTAAGGTATTTTGCCAGAAGTTTTATGGACAATAAGGAGTACTTATTGGAAGCAATTAATGTGGTAAAAACCAAAAACCCTCAAACAAACCTATTTTGAGATTACTCCAGTCAAATATATTCCTAATCTAACTTCCACATGGACAGAAAGTGATCTGACTGCTGCTCCATACCAACACAACTGCCTGCCCATGTACAGTAGATGACAGTATCTTGCCCACATAGAGCTCTGTGAGGCAGTACAAAAAGCAGCACTTGTAAGTATTTAATTGCTACACTATTTAAAGTCTGCAATGTAATTTATGTACTGTCTAAGGAGCGACTTGACTTCTTTTTCAGTAATCTGAACGCCAAGCAAAACAGCAAAAACAAAGCCCTAAGCATTTGTGTACTTTTGTCAAGTTTTCCTTTGGAAGATTTCTAAGCCAGCAAGTATTTTCTGTACAGTCACTGTTCCTTGAGGCCTTACCGGCAGTCCTCAATTTTCTTGAGCGCACTACGGTCCTGCCTGAAGTCTGAAGCTGCTGTCAACCTCACAAATTCATCTTCTTTGCAAATGTAATAATCTATCCCTTCTATATGCATTAGTCACTTCAGGCAGAACATCTACACCCTCGGAAGGACTAGAAGTTACCCACATACATCTCAAGAAACACATTGGTTTTACAGCCTAAAGCAGTGGGTGTTGCACAGGGGCTTGCCCATATTGTTTGAAGTTTAGCATATGCCTGTCTTCCAGCTCCTACACATGTAAAGCCACAAATCTCCTAACAGTGTAGATGCAAATGCAGCCCTGAGTTGAACAGTTACTGAAGAAAACAATGGCAGCTGCACAAGGCCATGGCAGATGATCACAAAGCAACAAATGCATACCTCTTTAAATAAAACAAACTTAATTTTATAATCTTCAAGCCCTTCAGTTTCCCTTAAGATCCAGACCACTTTTATAGTGGTTCCAGCCAGCAGACACCGACAGTGAATCTGAAGATTCATTTACACACTTTGGAGACACATGGGTACATACAGAGTTCTAGGAATGTATCTTGCCACTGTTCACAGGAACATGGCTTTCCTCCAGCACACCTTAAATGTGTGCAGGATGACAGGAATTTCCACCTATAAAGGTGTTGTGGTGACGTTTGTCCTTTGCAAAAGGAGCTACTCAAGGATGTGGAGAGTTTAGCTCTGCGGCAGATCAACTTCAACAGACTTGCAACTTCCCACTCTGTGATTTCCATCCATTACAACATGCAAGTTGAAGCCCAAACACAGCTAATTAATACAGTGGAAGGGAACACATTCCTTGTAGTTCCAAGCAGGGAACAAAAGATTACATGTTAAAATAAACTACTTTTAAGACTGCCTGGGTTTTTTGCAGGCACACAAGGTATATGCCTCGCCTGCACTTGGTGCTGGACAGGTATGATCCAGCCATAGTCCAACCATGCAGTTCTATCAACATGGCACTGTGTGTGAGCCACAAAGCCCTGCTGAGGCAGATAAACTCCATCATATCCTGCTCCCAGGCCACGCACAAAATGTAACTTATTTTGTCTTCAGGGCACGAATCCAGCTATTAACCAGCAGTGCAACAAGCCCCAATATGTCTAACTAATCTCTTGCCAATCTGACATCTCAATTATCAAAAGATTTACATCAGATACAGATTACTTCAATCACAATACACTTCATAGAACATCATTACAATCTACGGAGGAGACTGACAACTCTGATCCTTTCAAATTCTTACTAGCATTTCACAGGCTTGGTCCTTTGTTCACTCATTTAGTCATCTGCAATTTCACTCTGCATGGGTATGTATTGCAAAGGAAAAATATGCATCAATCCCTAATAAAATAGCAAACTGCATTCAAATTTGAAAGTCAAAAAGAAGGGGCACCCACTTATTTTATATTTTCAAAAAAAGCACTGCTTTTCAAACATGAGCAGTGGATAAGTATTATTTCTTGAAGAGAAATAGGGTGCAGACTGGAAACTGAGCGAAGAAAAAGAAAACTGAAGTTTCAGAGAATAAATTTTTAAGTACCTGATAATAATATCTGAGCACCCAGCAAAGCCCTTCCACATAGGACTGTACAACTTTACGACGGAATTTCTCATCAGATGCATCGACATCAAATTTGTTTTTATAGTAGCGCTGTTTCCAACCAGTTTCCCATAACCTGCATAACAAGCACAAAACGATGTAACAAGCACATCAGTGTATTCACATTTATGTATCTGAATTCAAATATAAGCCCAAGTCACTTGCCACCTCAATTTTCATTGTCACACAGTTTAAATGAAGGCATAAACCCTGATATTCAACAGCAAGAGAATAAAATGTCATGGTTGGCATCATAGAAAATCCAGATGAAATTCTGAAGCTACCATCCTGATAGACAAATCTTTCAAGTCCCTGTTAGGAGCAGGGTAGATTTTCAAATATATGCCTGCTTCTGTCAGGATTTTTCAGAATGGTGTTGTCCCTAGTGGGTAAATTCATCTTTCTTATCAGAAATCTACTACCAAAAAAGCCTTTTTAACTCTGTTCTCTGAATCTTCCAACCACTACAAAGAGGACAAACTCTTCCCATTCTTTATTGTGTTTAACCCAGCCTAGGTCAAAATATTTATTTTACTGGAATACCTTCTCACATCAAGTTCATACCTTTATTCATAACACCTCTCTCAAGATAAAAACTTACATAGTTTCCCTGCTACTCGAAATCTAAAATAAGCAAATAAATAACAAGCAGCAGCAGCTTGATGTATACATTCTATTGCTATTTGGATAAAGCTACAATTACCAGCAGAATTATCTGCAACTCAGGAATCCCATGCATGCTGACTCAGATCAAATGAGTTTGGTTTTACAAAGGGATTTTCAATCTTTCATGCCAGAGATGGATACTGAAGCCCAAAGCCCAATCTCTGACACCATTTATCCTTTCTTCACACAGCTCCCCCTTATGTCTGTCCACTGATGGGGCAGAGTAAAACAACTGCTGGCTCATCTTTGACAGACGAGCATCCAAGTCCCTCAGCCCTACCATATAATATTAAAAAAAAGTTAATTATGTGCGGTATTGTGCCACATTTCAAGAAAGAATATTCCATGCAGATTACCAGTAAGTACAGACTGTAGGCTCCCTGAAACATTGAGAAGGCAATGGTGGTCATGGGCAGCAACAGGAATCCCTGCCTACCAGCTCCAGACCTCTTCCTCCTTGGCATTTTACCCTCTCTCTACAGCTGTGGTGCCCAGTCATTCAATAGTGACATGGCAATTCCCAGAGAACAAATGTGCCACAAGCTAGCAGCTAGTATTATGCACATAAAACTTCAAGTGTTTAGTCCTAACAGACACAATGTAATCTTGGGGGAAATTCCAATTCAATTCAGAAACTGCCATCTAAAAAGTAATAGAAAGATTAAGCTCTAGTTAATATTTGGTTCAATGACATCATGCTTGAGAACTGGCCTCCCCCACCTCTCTGGGTTGTTTTAATGGGTTTTCTGGTTTGTTTTGGGGTTTTTGTTGTTGTTTTAGGTTTTTGGTTTGACTTCTTTTAATTTAAACTTATTATTCATGACAGTGCACGCACTTTACACATGTGAATCTCGACGTTCACATGAATTTTGGTATTTCAGCGAACTAGAGTAAAGCAAATTACAAATCTGATAATCCCTTAATAATGATTTTTTTTTAAATAGGATTTTATTCTTAGCAATTCAAAACTTGGCATTGACTATCACATCTGAAAACCATCATGCAAGATCCCTTTCTACAAAGGTCAGGACCACTTTAAATTACATACACAATCTGAAGCACTCAACTCAAACTTGCACTTGTCAGAACAGAGCAATAAACGTAGCATATGAATCCTTTAAGAGAGAGAGCAAAGATCAATTTATGCCTGTTTACACAAAGCATATCCTTCTGGTTTTGCAAAAAGGAGCTTCCCTTGCTTCAAGTTGATTGTCCAGTACAAGATACTTCTGAAAATCTGACCAGAACAAGTTCAAAGAGGATACAAAATGACAATGAGGTGCGAAAACTAAGAGATGCTTTCAAGAGTTGAAGAAAGCCAGGTTAGCAAGGACAGAGCTACTTGTGCTAGAGTCTTGAAGGACAGAGTCAAGAACACCTGCAGTTTATGAGCACCTGACCCTAGAAGCTCCCAGCAGCTAGACACTTGCATACATTTCAAAAACATTTTCTGTAAGATAACAAAAAACAATCTGCTAGCTGACTAGAACTGTTTTTTTTCTAGATATAAAGTAATTCTAAATACAAAATAAGTTTTTGCAAACAATTTATTTGTATCTAGCACATTTATGCAGATGTTCTTACTTACGAGAAGCATAAAAATTGTTTTCCATTCAGAAAAGGATCTGAATAAATATTGTGAGCTACAAAGGAGCTTAAATAACTGCAGAGAAATTAAGCATACCTTTTTGCTTGACAATAACAACCCTGTCAAAACTACTGCTGCTTGTAAGTCACCACAGTTCAATCACACTAGTTGCTATAAAGCTGTTGAAGCTTCTTTTAGAACCTCTGCTATATTTCATATGGAAAGCAACATTAAAACTTATCCTGATTTTAGATAAAAATTCTGCTTGCTTGATTAAAAATTTACAAAACCCTCAGATCTGCACTTACAGAAAAGAAAGTAAGAGTGAAGAGTCAGAATATCTGATATTGGAAGATCTGCTGGGCCAGATGTCACAAACAGGTCATACCAACATTGCTGGACACTAGTGATCAGTACAGTCCAGCACATCACAACAAAGCAACCCTTATTATTTTCCCATGTCCATCTACATCCCCTGATTCTACAGAAATCAAAAAACTACTGGTTGTGTTTATCAGGGCAGGACCTTTAGCAAAAAAAATTTAAGGACCTTCACCCTCAACTCAAAGGGCAACAGTTTGATTTAAACCTTCGATAAATGCAGGCTCACTGGTAATTCACTGTCAGTTAACTCTCATAAAACCCCTATCCTTTCATCACCTAGGGATCAGCCATCCTAAGATATCCTAAGGAAGTCAGCATAGACAAAACATAGCTTGCTACAAATCAAAGGAGGAGAAAAACATATTGCAATAATCAAGGTAAATAATGTGGCACACAAATGTAACTGAATTTTATGGGTTAAATAGTTAAAAATTGAACTGCAAAACAGCAGCATTCAGCTCACATAATCAAAGCTGAACAGTGAACGTCTTGCCAATCTAGTGCTTGGTCTCAAAGGGAGCACAGGCTTGGAGGATGAAAACCTGCATGCATACTAATCTAGATACTTAGATTTAACAGCTATAGCTTACACATCTCATTGGAATTTACTGAATATTCTAACCCTCCACATTAATTACCGGTGGATAAAAAGATCACAGAAAAGCATCTGAAGGCACTGCTGCTCTAAGCTAAATGGCAATAATTAGACTGCATCTATTTCAGCAATTTGCTAACAAAAGTGCTACAAAAAATGGCTTCACCTGATATTATCCTCTGGCTCAGGTTCACTGTCACTATCTTCAGCTTTTCGCTTAATTCCTCCTGCCAGGGATGGGCTGCCATCAGAGTTGATGCTGGTATTTGGAGATGAAGTTGTCTAGGGTCAGAATTATTACAGATAAATAGAGGGTGCAAAAGGATTTATTAGGCATTTTGAATTCAAGTTAAAATTAACAGCTTTGTGACGATAATCCGCATTATTTACAGTTACCAAAAAACCTAACACAAAACTATATAACCCTTAAACTATTAAGTCAAGTAGCAAAAGGAGAACACATCTTTGCATTAAAAGGAAGGCATTGATATACAAAGGCAAAATGTTAATTGTATTTAAGAAAATAAAGCAATAAAATATATTTTATACACTGATAAAACATGCCATTTTTTATAAATTACAATTTTGAAACATATTTGCTTTCTTTAGTCCTACAGCTAATGTTACAACTTCATTTTACAGCAATAGTGAAAAATCTGTATGTAGACTACCATGAAAATGCCACTTGTAATTCAAAACTGGCAGAAATACTCTTCACAACTCGCTTCAACTCCTTTCAAATTCATCTATTTTAGTATTACAGAGTTGAAGAAAAACTCTTCCCATTCCATATAGGAACTGATTAGCTTAACCCATGTGTAAATGTTTCAAGATTAAAAAGGAAGAATAGCAGAAAGTCCACTTTGAAAAAGCATATTGTATTTATTTAGACTTAGGAGACAACAAGTCTCTTTATGATGAAAAGGATCATTTACTTGTTCACTGTTGGGATGGAGATTTATACCCAGCAAGAAAATATTTTTTGTAATGGTTATTTGAAATAATTGATAAAGTCTTCTAACAGAGCACTCAACTTATTTCCAGTTTCCCCCTCACTTTCCAAAAACTTTGCCTAAGTTTCTCCTCTTCCCAGTGAAAAGCAATCCTTTGGAAAGTAAAAGCAGGTGACAAGCACGTAGCTATGCAAATCACATATTTCCAAAATAGGAACCTATGTCTGCTTGTGTATACCACCTACAAAAGGAGTATTAAAAGACCTCCAGCTCAGATATTCAAGGAAGCTCCTAAATCCATACTCACAGAAAGTTTGACCCCACAAGTGCCAAACAAGACATCTGACTCAGATACTTTCACTTCGTATTTCCCCTCCCAGAACTATTTAACAAGCAGCATTATACCAAACATTAAAATAAAGAACACAATCTTACTCAAGAAGTCTCTCAAAAATTGGTTATTAAAAGCCACTTCCTGGAAAACAGAATTACTTGGTGTCTGCTTTTCAAGAAAGCTTGATGGGGTAGAGAAAAAGGTGTCCAGAATAACACAAGATATGATTATTCTCCCTTCTATGTGCAAATACCTTTGAACATCTACTTACAGAATTCTGCCTGTCGTGCATTCTCATCTCAAAGGCTGCTTGTCTAGGGTTACTGATTGCCTGAGGACTAGATCGATTTCCCAGAGCTTGAGGGGAAAACTGTCCACCAGGAATAAAAGAAGGATGATCCCTCTAAAAGATAAATATATTTAAGTATACTGAAAAAGCAGTGTAATCTTCTCATAAGTGTGGTAGTGCTCTCACAATTTTTAGATTAACGTGTTATATAAAACAAGCATAATTTACTCACTGTTTAGCTTAAACTACTTACATTTAACAAACATGATACTTACAGGTGAGACTCTTATGTTCCTATAATTTATTAAGCTCTTAAGAAAAAACAAAACCCAAAGCCTGTGTTTTGTGCCCATATTCTTTCTACGTGGGCTGAAAGGCAGTTTTGTAGGCAGGTGAGACTTCACCTAACTTACTGGGAAGAATGTCTAGGAAGAACGTATTCTTTGTGAGCAAAGTGAATAACCTCTTTCACTCTAATAGGAATAACCAGAAAATATAAACACAAATAAACAAGATCTAGAGCATACTCAGAGTAGAGATATCATATGTCCTGAGAGTTTTGGAAGCTACACTTACCTGAGTGTCCTAACCAAGAACAAAGCTATGTTGACATGAACATACAAGAGTTCACTTTTAAAATATCAGAGTATTTTGTGAATAGAAGAAAACTCAGCATTGTTACAGTAACAGTCTTTAAGACTTCAGCTTATATGAGTCAGAAAGTGCAAACACATTCCAACAAGAGCTAATACTTTTCTTTTACATTTGAGAGACACTGGGCAACACTGGCTTGCTTGCAGGCAGAACATGAGATGATCACAGTTTGGGATAAGCCTTTGTTGGTCTTTCGGAAACTTGCCTCTAATATGGAAATTCGATTGTATCAATCTGGTGTATGTATTCCAACCTAAACTCTTACACTCAACTCCACTGTCCTCGGCAATATGATTGCAGAGCAGACTTGTGTCAATGTGTGGGAGAGCAATTCCTGTCCAGTGACCATGCTGAAGCATCACTAAATCATCATGGAATTGCAGGTGTGTAGATTTGACGGAACACAAAATACAGGTATCATCCAGCACATCCACCACTCTCCCTTCTCTCCTTTCCCTTGTAAGACATCTTTAACAGGCAATTCCTTCTTTCAAAGCTCTAGACTAAAAACAGCCATGAAAACCTCTTTATAACAGTTTACACACAGGCCAGAAAATACCATGATTACAACTGCAGTTTCTACCAACACATCTGCTGAAAGATATACTACACATTCTAATTTGTGATATTTTTTGCATTCTAAAAGAAACTCACTTACCTTCATTCTTTTTTTTTTTTTCTTTTTGTCGCCTTTTAAAGTTATCCTAAGTAGAAAATGAAGAGAAATAAAGTCAGCCAAGCAAACAGATTTCTTGGAAAAATATTTCATTGTAATGCTCTACTGACCAGAAGGTTATAAGGTCATTAAAAAGACATAGGTCAATTCTTGTGCCTATAAATCCAAAGGAAACATGATAGAATTTCCTGCCCTACCCTGAAAAGCTGTGGGAGAAAAGAGTAGCTGCGCATTCCATGTCCCACAGACAAAGTCCCCAAAAATTACCACAATTTCAGTAATGGCTTATACCATCTCCTAAGTGAGGTGTAAAGTGAGGAGCAAAGGTGACAGCAGTATTAAAAGACAAGTTCCATGCCTGTACTACAACAGCTGTCAAAAAAAAAAAAGCAGAAGAGAGTTTTAAGTCCTATAAACAGAGGGGAAAAAAAAAAGAGGCTCAAGGAAAGGTACTTCTTAACCTTGGGCCACAGAAACTGAAAACTTGAACATCAATTTGCCATTTCCACTTCAAGAGAGATGCAAACTGGGGAACTTATAAACAAAATATTTTATCAGCATTGGCACACCATTTTTTGACTGGAAAGTAAATACAATTCTGCTCTTCCATTCACAAGTTTTATCCCTTGTACTCAAGTAATACGGAATACATCTGCAAAAAAACTGCACAAACTGCAAAGGTGGACTGAAAGAACAACAATTTATGGACACATTACCTCAATTTTTGTATTGACTATTGAAATATTTGATTTTTTTTCCTTATTCTGATAAAGGAGCATCACAGTCTTAGCAGTAATGCACAAGATTAAAAATAAACTCCAAGAATGTAATAAAAAGAAATTACATCATCATCTTTTCTCTTTTTGAAAATACTATCTTCAACTTCTCCAACAGCTAACATGATCATCTGCACCCGCTGTAGGTTGACAAAACCACTTTCTGTGAGGTACCCCTGCAAATTAGAAAAACATAGTTTAAAAACAAGCCTATTTTGGTAGCAAAGAGTCAGATATTTTTAAAGAGAAAGCAAAAAAAATTACCCCAGTTTTGTGCACCACATTTTTATATATGTTAACCAAGCGATCAATTGCTCCTTCCCTAAAAACAAACAAATACAAGCATGAGATTAGAATTCCAAATCACAGAAGGTGTATTTGCGGGAAAAGAAAACATATATTCTCATCTACCTGATCTCCAGAGATGGCAGATGAGGAAGGAAGTCATTTCCCACAAAGAAACACATAAAGACCCAGTCATCAACACTTCTTTCAAAATCAAAGGTGAAAGGCAAACTGGCCATAGTGAGTTCTCTTTCCAAGTACTGCAACACACAAAAGGAAACGCATGTTACAAAACGCTCTGTACAGAGTTTAAAATTATTATTTACCTAAAGCAGATATAGTAACTGTTTCAACATACCTCCCGCAAAACGCATAATCGGATGAAGATGAATTCCTGTTCAGCCACAGGAAGACTGTCTGCAAACTGATCATGCTAAAATAAAATGGAAGAGTTGCATTACATCCAAGGTCATCTTAAAGTTTCTCCAGCTCAATTTTAAAGGCTTACTTTGGGAGGAGTTAAGAGATGTATCAGCACAGTTTTACAAGTTCTTATCCATACTTTGCTCATGTGTTAAGTTACTGATCATCATCTCTCAGCAGTGAGAAATCAACAAAAAACCACCACCAGTGAGGATGATTTGGCATAATATGTTAATGCTACAAAGTAGAGTTTTTTACTTATTAATATAAGAAGAAAGCTAGATAATTCCAAAAATATAATCTGCAATATGTTTCAGTCAAAACAAACAGCAAGAACAATCTAAGGATCTCATTGAAGCACAGATTGACTTATAGATAAAAAGGAATTTCCAGAAATAGCAAAAATCTTACCTTGCCTTGTTTTTCTCTGGGCAAACCTTGACAATCCTTAACCTCATGGCCCATCTGGTTACAAAGACTACATGGCTTGGGTTTATTTGGTTTAAACTCTTCCCTAATTATAGTGAAGTTTGGTTCATGCGTAGCTAACCCAAGCATAATCAGATCAGCTACCAATCAAAAGAGAAGAATAAAATATGATGAAAGATAAACACTATTAAGCTTTTTTATTTTAAAAAAAATAAGTTTAACAGCCAAGTACATTTTACCTCAAGAAAGTGTGCACACACAGATATGCTTACCCCCAGACTACCCTCATGGTACCACTAAGTGAAAGCTGGCCCTTCAACTATGGACAGTGCTACACATCTTTCCCCATTTATTACACAGAGCTTCCAAAAACTAACAAATACACTGGATTATTTACACAAACACAGCCAAAGCCTAGAAACTACAGCCCAATTCAATCACAAAACAGCACAAGAAAGTTGAGTAGGAGATATTGCTAGCAAAAGAGAACTCACCATCAGCCCCACACAGACAATGATGAGTGTTTGGGTCATGGTTTGGTTGAGCTATACAAAAGAAAATTACATTTAGTCAACCAACATAATGTAAAACAAATTATTACTGACTATAATTTACAACAAAATGTTCACACTCGTTTTAATTTTACCTCTTTGTCTTCTAATGTAATCCATGATTTTGTGTTCGCCTTCACCAGGAGCACTAGCATCAGACAAAATAACCTGCAAAAGATTTAAATGATGTAAGTAATTTATGCCACCACAGTAAAAAAAATAAACTCATGTAGTTCAGATACTGAACACTGAATGTGAATTATGAATTCTTAAAATTCTAATTTGTAGTTTTATCTAAAATATTATGATTCAAAATGAAATTATTTAGAAGTTTGGAAACAAGCAGATCTTCATTCTTCTCTACTAATTCTAGGATGAGGCTGTCATACCAATTCAAATACCACTGAAATTACCACATCATTAACTAACATAGTCGAAGTTTCCTCATAAATCAAAATACGCACTAGAGAACTAACAGATAAAGCTGACGTGCCTTCTTCCCTTTAGATCTCCTCAACTCGGAGGTGCACTGATAAATTATAACATTATACACTTCCTTACACGGATGTCCAGACGAGCATTAGCATCTGTAAAACTCATGTCTGATGGAGGGAATTAAGGAGAGTCAACTGCCCTCTAATTAGACCACTCTAACAGTCAACTTGTGGAAAATAAAACAGCTGCATCTGAGAAGATTGACTGTTCTGCCCTCTTGCACAGAGCAAACACAGGGTTTTCAGAACAAAAGTCACTGGGGGAAGAGTGGTTAAGGAAAAGGAGGAATTTCCAAGTCCAGAAAGGCACAAAAGCTCATATGTAGTATTTTCATTGCTTGCCATCTATTGTCATCCATCATTAGAATAACAGAGAAAATGCAGCCTGAGGCAGCAAATGAGTTAAGAAATAGTGAAAAGAATATATTCCATGTATCTTGACACTTTCCTCCCAAAAGAAGAAAAAGTATTCTTATAACCCTGTCTCCCATTATATCCAATTGTACCTGCTACTATCCAATCTTTCGTTGCTCTTAAATGAAATCAAAACAAATGGTGCTGATAGGTTGTATTATGAGGATGAAATGTATCTCCACAGTCCCAGGCAGAATGTGCAAGTCGGCCTATTATTAATAACAGCACAGTGCCAGATGATGAGACAAATCTGGTAAATTTATACCCTTCAATCATATCCCAGCCCAGCCTAACAGATCACCTTAATTTTCCCAGAGTATGTCACTGTGCAACTTACTGTCAAATTTTTCCACCCTGGGTCACTGTTCAAACGATCAGCAATGTAATAGCGGAGACATTTAGCAAGATTGTCCATAAACTCAGTTCCCTAAAAAGGGATGGAAGAAAATAAATTAAACCTTCATTCAGGCACTGGCAATTGCTGGTTAAAGTGCAAGATGACTTACTGGGGTAATACAGTTACTGTCAAATCTCTCCTTCACTTCTTCTGGAGGAAGAATGCCACCTAGAGCAATAGAAATATTTAACAGAAGTATAAAATATGGAACATTAAAAGCATTTTTGCATGATAAAAACCCAGATGGCTTCCCCAATAACAATTAACGCTTATCAAAAATTAGTTTAAAAAGTCACAAAAAATCTAAAACAGCTCTTACCATTGTATTATCTCCATCTTTAAATAAAGTGTTAGTACATTTGTAACATTGTTACTTCAGAAAAGTGATTTCACAACCTATTCTGTCAAAAGGCTGCGAAAGAAATCTCAAAGAAACTAAGCTTGCTAAATGAAATAAAACATTAGGAAAGAATTATTTTCTTACATATTCTTCCCTATGTTTCCATTATCTATTCACTTGGGCTCACAGTGCTACACCAACTCCACTCATCTCTGAGCTTCATAACGGATCTTCATAGTCTAGAAATGCTACAGGAAGAAATGTTAAAAAAAGTCTTTGTCCTCCCTTTTTAACCTCTAACCAGGTCACACAATGGCCCTTTCACTTGGGCTCCAGCACTCATTCCTCCTACAGTCACCTGAGTGAACTGCTCCAGTCCAGGCAGGGTGCTCCAGCTACATACACTCCTTTAACTCAAGACATGTCACTGCCACCTTTTGAAAGTTGCACTGACTTCAGAGTTTCCAGTGTCAAGTAACTACCCTTGCTTGCAGTCCATTATTCCTGTGCAGTAGTATTTTCATGTGATCTCTGCTTTTAAGCCTCAACTCTCCTTCCATCAAGCCTGACAGATTTGTACTTCCTTCCAGAAGAGTTTTGTTTAGTCTCCCACTACTACATTTCTTACTGCTCTTCTGCTCAGTTTTTTTCTAAAGGAATTAAAGAGTACTCAACACAAATCCATTTCAGGCAGGAGGCAGAAGAAATAAAAGGCGACATTTTGTTATCTTAGCTCTTAACCTTGGAAATCACAGATTCATCCTTCTGTAGGCTTGCTATCCCCTCCTTCTCCTACTCTTGCACAAATATCCACTGCACAAGACAGCCCTTTTCTAACCCTTACTGAAGCATTCAAACTAAACAAGGTGACCTTCACTTGAAAAACTTCAGGTATGGCCACAGTTCTACCTTTTGCCAGAATTTCTTGTCTTATTTTTAGCTTCTCTTCAGCAGCTTCCATGCCCTCCTTTGATGCTCTGAATCTTCTGGACCGCTGTTGATTCATTTTTGCACGTGGAGCCTAAAAAAGGTAACATAACACTTGGTTTAGTTGTTGCATCTGGACAGTTGTTTCCTTTCTGGACAAGTCTTTTGAAATTGGCCAGTCTGGGACTATATAACCATTTAACAAGACATCAGTGTAAACTGTAACTGAAACAGGGATTTCTCCCTCCCTCACATCATCACTAGCTCTCACATGGTAGCTGGACATGTTTCTGAAGAGGTCTCAAGCTCCTCCATGAGGCAAGTCAGCAGCATTCACACCCCACCTCAGAAAGATGTAGCCCTTAAGTATTCAAAGATTCCCTTGCAAAATAAATTAAACTGACTGTGATGTGTATCTGAGAAGCATTATTTATTACATACCCTTTCTTCAACAAGAAACTCCTACAATTGAATTCATAACTCATTTGACAATAGTGTGAACACCATGTGAAATATTCTGCAGCACAATTAAGTCACTGCCCATTTAAAGTTCACCTGCTTAAACAGTTTTCTGGTCTTTCCCAGTTTTTGGCATGAATTATTACTAAAGTCACAGAACATTAGAAGTAGCTTCAGAGTGTTAACTGTATTAGGGAAGTTTCCTGCTTTTCAGAAACAAAGTTCAGACTACAGCAGACTACATTAGCCAGCTCATATAAGCCCCATAGACAAGAAAACTCATTAATACTTTAACTAGTCTCACCAACATTAAATTAACTGTATATTTTACCTGTAGTTTTTCATTTTAGAAAGCTATTTCTCAAAGAATCTTATGAAAGCAGATGGCATCTCCCCTGATTTTACAACCAAACATTACTAGGAACTAAACACATCAGTACTTACTACTCCATCTATAGCCATGTAAAGAAGCCGCCTTGGTCGAACAATGTTGAAGATCCTGTCAATATACTCAAAAATTGCAACCATCATTTCATCTTCATTTTTGGGTGCTGGCCTAAAACACAGAGCATTCAGTTTAACACCGAAAACACTACAGATAAATCCTATTCCTAAAGAGATTAAAAAACTGCCTTACTTGTCTTCTGGATGTGTACATGGGTGAATGATACCATTCATATCCAAATACAGGTTATCAAACTCCACCTCATTGGGGTTTGGTTTGCTTGTATCAATTGGAACCTTCACACCATTGCACTCTTTGGCCTGTGAATGCATCAAAACAAGTATTTCAGTACTTGATCAGAGAAGTATCACAAATAACCAACAGAGGTATTAACGTACAGACTCATAAAAGTCGGGAACCAAAATAGCAATAAACTACCCATACAATTACCTGAAGATGCATGCTTACACTCTTAAAATAGCAGGTTTTTTAAAAAGACATTTATAAACTAGCAGAACTAGAACGTATCCTGATGAGTTACAGCTGAGTAACCTTTGAAAGCCACATCACCAGACAAATGTATAAACCACTGAACTGAACAACAGCTGCATCAGTGATGGAAGAGACATGAGCTGATTAAGACATGCCCCTCCCTGGAGGTATTTTATGGCCAGGTTAGGTGAGGCCTTGTACAGCCTGGCCTAGTGTGAGGTGTCCCTGCTCATAGCAGGGAGGTTGGAACCTGATGGTCTCTAAGGTCCCTTCCAACCTTAACCATTTTATCATTCTGTGAAATTATTTTCTAAAAAATTATGCCTGGAAAGGGCTATAAAATACTGCAAAGTTGGAATGAAGTGTACTGGCAAATAGTTTGGCACGAAGTTATATTAAGAAAACCTAATGTCATGTTATTGCTTAAAGGCTACTGTCACAGGATTGGACGAGACAAGAGTGCAAAATTTGACAGTGCTGGATCTCTAGTTCACATAGAACTTACCAGTAAGTGATGAACCAACACCAAGCTCTTCCTCTGAACTTCCATCTGCAGGCTTGCTGCCCACTACTCATTAGATGAGTTTGCCACATCTCTAGTACAGAGCTCAAGCTATCAGATTCAAATTACAGATCCTACTAACAACTTGCTTACCATTTTCCTGAGAGAAGCGGCAGCAGAACCAGCTGAACTTATCCCAGTCTTAAAAGGCAAAAATTCAAACCTCTAAAGCAAAATAAGTCTTTATTCAGGATTTAAGTTTTTCCTAGTTATAGGTGTATGGAACTCTTCAGGGCAGTTTTGTTAAGACATTTCTAAATAACTGAACACTAAGTCCCTCTATGTCACTTCTTTAAAACAGGTGAAATTTCTGCTAGTTTATATCTGTCTTGCACTATTCATCCAAACCAGTCAAATCCTGACAGGTAAAATCTTGACCACTGTTTGCTTCCTTTACTGAACTTCCTGGAACAGACACAAAAAAAGCATACAGCTTTAGCAGAAACTACCAGGTGCAAACCCTGTATTGTAGCCTGTAGTTCTATTAAAGTTACTCTGGGCAACCAAGAGCTCCAATTTTAACAGAAGAGTATTCAGTCTGGTTTACATTAGATAATAGGAGGAGAGGCTTGTCTTGTGTTCTGCTTGATCTCTCATCAAACCTCTTGCCAGAACTAACTGACTCAGAAGATATCAAAGGCGTACAACTATATGATATGGAAAGTAAAATTGTCCTCAACACTGATCTTATTTTCAGTCTTGAAGGTAAAGCAAAATAAGTATGATCTCTTTTAGATGGCTTTGAAAGCCATTCAGTTTTCATCTGCATACTGCTATATCAGCAACTTCACCATTACATCCTCATAAACCTATCAGATTTTTAAAGTAACAGCCTTATAAAAGGTTTAAGTATCTGGAAGTGATATCTCTTGTGATATAACTAAACTGTTCACTTTTAGTCTACAGCCTCTTTTGAAACTAGATCTTCAAATATGATACTTTAGTTGCAGCTTTATTAATTCATACAAATTTGATTAAGAATATTCTCTCCTGGATTTTGTATTATCTTCAAGATCTCCCTCTTATTCTTCCTGCTCAGCTTAAGAAGAAGATTAATCAGATTTAAGAAAAAGAAATAATCTAGCAAGGTAAGAGAACAAGGATCAACTTTTTAGTATTTCAAAGACACAAGCTACTGGAAGATACAAAATTTCTCATTAGAGAGATTTATAAGCAATCCTAAAATACACACAGAGCTGATCACATAGTGAGAGAAGTTTAAATTCATCTACAGTAAGACAAACTACAGCTTCTGACTGCTGTCCTAGTCTGCCTTCATATTTATGTTCAGATTTAAATATTAAAAAATATAATGAATATGATTTATCCATGTACTGTCCTTACTGTAACTGCAACGTGCTCTTAAATTGGCACAAAGCAACACGGATGAGGACATCAGGATGTGATACCTCAGTTATTTTATATGTCATATTTTTCCTTTTCTTTCAATAAAGACCATAAGGTATTACAAGCTCAATTATTAAAAACACCAAAAGGACACACGATCACAAACTCCATAAAATCAGGACTGTTAAGTATTTTAGCTAAACACTACAGCTGTTTTAATTAAAGATTACTCTAAATGTTTACAAATGTGATTAGAAAGATGGGTTTTCTGCTCTTATAGAAGACTGTACTTAATTGTTATGGATTTTAGATACATTTGGTGCTTAAATTGCAACTGCTTTTAAATAGGCAGATCTGAAAGCATTATCCATAAACAGCTGGACCAGCTTGTAAGACAAAAATCTAAAACAGCCACTTAGAGGAAAGACAAAACTGTGAAGAGTCTACTTAACACTATCAAAATGCTGTTTGCACCCTTTTGATGAGAATACTGGTTCAACATGTCCCAACTAAACCTCACCTCCTGGGCTCTTTGCAGTTACTGAGCCCCGAGGCTATACTGCCAGCATAGTCATAAATGTGACAGATAACCTAGAGCTGCTGGCTCCACAGCCCCACCCTGCTGCTGCAATGGATGGCCGGTGAGATAAGCCAACCTTGGACATCTTGAGGAAAAGGGGGACTTGGTGAATGATCCACAGCCCCAGCTGGGAGAAAGCCGACACCATGTCAACACCCATATGCTCCACAGTTGTAGCTGACAGACATGTTGCTCTCTGGTTCCCCCCAATACCCTTGCCATCCACTTTCCCCTGGCAGACACAATCATGACAGTGTCCTCGAGAGCCATCTGAACTGAGGGTTACCCAGATCCTCAGAACAGACAACAGAGACACAAAAAAGAGTTTGGTAAAACGACCAGAACAATTGCTGGGAGCTGCCAACAGCTTATTCCAAAGTGAGCACCCATATGAGTGGCTAAAAAGCTATCCTTGCTTTTTCTAGGATAGCCCCCCAGGCAGACAAATCCTGAAATCTTACTTATCCACCAGAGTAAAAAATCTACTTCTTGCAGTTACAGGTAAAATAAACTTCATACTGTCATGCTGAGAGAGGCTGACTGAAACCACTACAGTAATAAAAGCAAAAGAGTAACTCACAGTTTTAACTGTGCAACATTTGATCAATCCAAACCTGTGAATCTGTTTCACAACCTGAATTTTAACCAAGAACTGAATGCTCAACTGCCTGTCTCTCATATACACTGAAGTCTGGCTGAAGGCAAGCCATCAAAAAACCCCCTATGTCAATACATAACTCAATCGCTTTACTCTCTCTTTTCCCTTATCTTCTCTACCTTGCCTGCACATTTCTATCTCCTTCACAATACAGTGTTTCCTACAGACCTCCACGCTGGTGCAAGGGACAGGATAAATATAAGCCATCTGCTGAAGGCAGTGACCAGGCACCTTAAAGCAATCGACAAACCCTATCTACCACAAGCTGTCGGTTAGTGAGACCACCTGTGGAGTCCAGCAGCTAGGCTGGGACTAAGTCTTCACCAAATAGCACCTTCTATTGCTATGAAGAGCCAGATTTTAGAGGATGTCTTTAAAAAAATCAGCTCTCTGTTTGAGCAAATGTTTCTCCTATGCCAGTAAATACCAGCAATGAGACAAAAAAAGCGGAAGCTCTTCAAGCTTAAAGAGTAAAACTACAGACTTATTTGAAGTCTCAGATGCAAGCAGGACATCCTGTGTTGGTGGACAGACAAAAAGAAAATAAACCAGAGTAAAGTGTGAAACTGCAGAAAGACTAATGCATGAAAAGACACGACTAACAAAAATAGTACGACCTGAAAATGATACAACTGAAAAGTACTCAAACACTATGAAAATGAGAGCCCAAGGGAAGTGTGTGACGTACACTCATGTATCCTTTTAATCTGACAACAAACCGTGCAGCTACTAAGGGCAGCCTGATTCCTTCTCAACATCTCACTCTGCCCTCACGCTGCTGCTGGCACCAGCTTTCCTGAGCCCACAAAACGAGCACGGAACTCGCAAACAGGGTCGTCTCATGGAGCCAGGTAAGTTTCCAGACCGACAAGTAAATATTTTTAATCACTTACACTCGCATTTTCTTACTCTTCTCGAAACAGGCAACTTTACTTCCATTTTCAACAAGTCCTAAAGCTTGCTGCACCTTTTAACTTACCAAAAAAGTTGCTGAAAAGCAGGGATATGAAGAAGATCCGCAAAAAAACCCAACAGAACAAGAAAGGGCAGGAAGTATTTCCGTTACGACTCCCTGCTCACCACAAGTTTCGCTAAACACTTTCGTAACACCTGCTCTTCTTACCTGAAGCAACACAAAGGCAGAAGCCACCAGGCCGGGAAGGCCTCGCCTTTCAAGGAGCTGGCCAAGGACCAGGAAATCACGGGAGAAACCCGCACCCTCTGCCCCAAAGCTCCTCTTCCCCGAAAACCGAGCAGGCGCGGGAACTTCTCCCCAACACCAGCCGCTCTCAC